AAGACATCGGTCAGACCTCACTCACTTGAGATAAGATACCTAGGGTTGAGATCAACCTTCCTAGAACATGCTTCCCATGTTCATTGCACAAATTGCTGAACCTTCAAAACGCTTGATTTGGAAGCGCATTGCATCAATACTCTCCCATTACTATCTGGAAGATGCAAAAACTAAGGCAGTTTATTCTTAGCTTATGAGAGTTTCTGCAGCACATTTATCCTCAAACAAGAACACGGCTCGTTGTAGCTGGAACTTCAAAATTCTTGGGGTGCATTCATAAATGAGAATGAGTCCAGCATAAAAAATGGCCCTAGACAGTTTGTTACAGCCATCAGAAAATTGGCATGACAATGCCAAAATATCAGACCAGCATCTCAAAAGCTGCCCATGTTCCTTGCAACTGTTTATTAGCAGATCTGGGTTCTGAATCTAAAACACCGTCAATTCTCTGAGGTTGAAGTCATTTGATGAATCAGGTCAGCCTTGGGATGTACAGTTTCAAGTCTTTGTCAGGCAATGTGGAGCTTGCTGAATATATATTGGTTGAGAAAGCTAAAGAATAAGATCTTATATCTAATTTTCCGCCCGAAGCCTCACTGAGCGTCACCTTGGTCGATCTGGGACTAAATCGAGGACCCTATGCAGACATAGAGAAGCTTCCCAACCTCAGAATTGTCGAGCATTGTTTTTCGAATCATTTTCAGGAAGAAAATGTTATTGCAAAGATGGAGGTATTTCCCAAAGCTTGAGTCCTCAAGCTATGGGAGCTGGAGTGATTACAGGAATTGGAATATGCGAAAAAGGAGCAATGCTAAGTTATTTCCTGGAAAAATCCTGGAGATTGACATGCCATAATTTGAAGATGGTTACCTGATGCACGTGCGCCTGCATTGACACGCCTCCGGGAAGTTAAAACTAATAAAAAAAGTGCCAATGTTATCAAACTTCTGAAAAGCATAAACAAATGAGAATTTGCGATAAAATTGCGCATGTGCGCCGGCATCTGCGTAGAAAGATTGAAAATGCACAACAGAAGTTCAATTATAAAGGGTTATCAGCATATGTTTCTCTGTTTGTCCTATAGCAAATATATGAAATGATTAAATGTCAGATTTTTGTCTAATAATAAGTTAAGCGCCATATCAAGAGATGTCTTTGCAGCTTGTAATTCTTGTATTGTTGTAATTTCACTTCATTTTGTTCTATAGAATTGAATGGTTCATTAAATCAGGTTTAGACAAAATTATTAGTAGTTGTAAAGCTGTTGTAACACACCATTCTTTTTTTTTCTCTCTCCTAAGATTCACATCCACATTTCCATCCCTTCTTGCCTTTATTAACAATCTTAAAAAAAAAAAAATTTGCATTTAAGAGAGGCCCAAATATACAGGTTCCTATTACTAAGAAAGACTTGTAATGGAGTACTCCGCATATATTCTTTTCTAGTCTGTGGATATTGGCCTTCCTTTCGCTTTTTTGGATCTTTTATTCTTGTTGTAGAATGAAGACAAGAATCCAATACGTTACTTCCATCATTAACAAACATGTTGCTTTTGGTTGGGCTGAGTTGCATTCATTTAGTTGAATAAACGATTAAATTTCTATCTAACAGATTAAACTGTAAGTTTTTATTCTAATACCAGTGAATTCCAGATCGGTAGTGGCTTTTAATATCTTAATTAGTAGGTCATGGATCAGGGAAGATCAATCAACTATCTAGGACCCACTCGTCCATATGTTTGTTGTTGCATAATTTAATGTGGGGAGAGGATGTGGGCTCTACAATTTTGCCAAACAGATGAATCAGTTTAGGAAATGGCATGCGCATTGTGATGAGGAAGCTTGTGATTCGAGGGTTATCATGTGTCGTTAGGAGCCGTAGCTCATGTGAATTGAGGAAGCCCGTCCATTGCTGCTTGGACCAGTCTTGTAAAGCTGCCAGCAAACAGCAATTGCTTTCCTGATGCATGTCGTCTTGCATGATGATAGCCCATATTTCATTCAGCATTTTTCAACACGCATTAATTTGCTGACCTTATCCTCAGCTTCCAGCGATATTGAGAGATAGCCATCCTTCTATTCCAACATCGGCACCATGACTGGGACGAAAATTTTTAAAGTATATTGAGTATTGAGCGCTTGGATTCATGCTATGATTTGCTTGTTATACCAAGGCAAGTGTTTTTGATGCATACTATATCTCGGCAGCTTTTCCCGTACCATTTAGTTGTATCTCTTAACTGTTTTTACTCTCTTAGCCCTGTTTTCTAATTGATAAAAGCCCTCTTACATCAAGATTGACAAGAGCATAACTTGTGTTTTTGCTTGTGTTGCTGCCTATTGCTGTTACAAGTATACGAGATGCTTATACTACTTTCCTTGATTTAACTCTACTATTTGGTTGTGAGACAAAACACAAAAATCTGCTGGTGGAACCCATCATCAAGGCACTACCTGCTGTCTCCAGTCATGCGTTGCATACTTGATTCATTTGATGCCGGCCTGTAACAAGAGATAGGTCTCAATTTCCATGCAAAAATTCAATCTGATAAGTTTTGACCTAGAAGAGGAAGCGGTAATCAAGCTTCAGTGGAATCTTCAAGTATCTTGTGCATTCAATACTGTGCGGTCCTCAGATTTTAAAAAAGCTCGGGATCGTTGAGCAAATTTTTGGAGAATCTTATTCAACATATTAGACATGAGCAATTTCCCAAATTTATGCTACTCAAAGGGGTGATCATAGCAGCTCAGAGAAACGGGGATGCTTTCACAAGATTGGCCTGGAGTGGTTTAAAACAGAATTTGATCACAGCATTCTTCTATGGCACATTGCCACAGAACCTTGCTTTTACAGTGAATCTAAACAGAATTCATCAATATTATTTGAAAACCATAATATGTAAAGAAAGCGAATCGATAGCGAATTACATGCTGTATCTGTCTAGGTCGTATGCGCCTTTCATTGCCCTCCCCAATCGAATTGGACAGATTAGATTTCAAGACACCTGTGCAGCAAGCACTCAATTTTTCTGATGAACAAGAATACATGGTCAGAACAAAATCAAGCTTGCCACTGCCATTGCTTCAAGTCGAAGCACTCGATATTCTCCATTCCAAGTGAAGGAAATAGCCAACAATCGCCGTGCTATTCGATGCATGCAGGCTTTACTAAGTCTTTGCGTCTCTGGAAGAACCAGAAAGAGCCAATGCCGAAAGGTGAGAAAAATGGAAAGATGATAAATGATCGTGTGAGATAGAGATGCTTTGTTATCGCAGCAAATCAATGTGGATGGAACAACCATGCCGAAGAACACTAACTGAGAGGAGGGGCGCTTAACTTACTACATTCTAGAGTTATTATGGTCATTCTGCATTACTGTAACAGATTTCAGATTTCTAAAAGGCCTAATGCAAGAGTCAAGGTGTTGCTGCAGTTAAATAAATGCCTGTTATGCTAATATTGTATGTGCCATTAACACTCAATTTTGGCAGTGGCGAGGGAAAGCAACAGCTTAAAGGGAGAGAGGGCATAAGCCAGTCATTCTATAACCAAGTATGTTATATGTCTGTAATGAAGAAAGATTAGGGGTAACATTCTCTTCCTTTGTCTATAAATTACTTTTTTTTTTTTTCTTTTGGGTATTATTGAAGGCGGAACACAGGATTGGATTTCTACATTCTTATCATATTTTCATTTCGCTTATATTTATGCTATGATTCAATTATTCATTACTGATGAATTCTTTTCTTTCTTAGGTCAGTAAGTACATGACCTTTATTTCAGACATTGTAATCATCATACCATTAATGTATATATATATTTTTTCCTTTTTTAACAAATATTGACCTATGTGAAATTGATGTCATTCCTCTGTTTCGTGTAACCACTCGTTATTTTTTTTGTTCTTATTTAACCAGGATATTTTAAAGCTAATAATCACCTTACAGAGATCAGTTTGTCAAATTTCTTGTTTTGCTCAAAGTTGTTCTGCAAATTCACTGAACTATCGATTATATTTTGTCAGGGTTTCATTCAGAAACATTAATCTTATGTCGTGTTCTGCTCACCTTAGTTTTTTCATTGGAAAACCAGAACCAACTCTCGCAGTTCACGGAGGAAAAAAAAGCACCAAACCCAATTCTCAACAATGAGAACACACATTTGTTTTTTTATCATCCTAAGCTCAACTAATTCCAATTTCCTTTCAAGGGAATTGCGCTATCTTATATCTAAATAAAGAAAGCAAGAAATTGTCTTTATTAAAGCAACGCGGTGGAATTCTAACTTGCCCTTGAAGACTTTTGAGGGAGTCTCCCAACCACTAAACTCTCTTGGCTTATTTGAAAGGAAACTCAAACTTTTCCCATCACTCTTCATCGTCTTACTATCTCTTTTTCTCCTGCA